TTCCTTAAGTGTGGGATGGATCTAGTGACTTGTTTGTAGCAGACAGAATACAGTGAAAATGATATAATGTCACTTTTGTATTTATTTACAAAAGAATGGAACTTCTATCTTACTGGTATTCTCTCTGTATTGCTGTCTAGCATGTGCACTTTGATGAAGCAAGCCACTGTTTTGGAAAGGCCCACATGGCAAGGAGGTGAGGGCAGCCTCCAACCGTCAAAGGTGAGGAACTGAGGCTCTGAGTGGCATGATTCACAACAGATGGAGTCTAGCCAACAACCATGTGAGCTAACTTAGAAGTGAAGTATTACCTAGGTGCACCTTCAAATGGTGCACCACAACCCTAGTCAACACATCAACTGCAGCTTATGAGGGACCCTGGAGCAGAAGACCCAGCTAAACTGCATCTGGATTCCCAACCTAAAGAAACTGTGAGCTAATAAATGAGTTGTTTGGGGGTAATTTGTTAAGAAATCAATACCCAATACAACTCACACAATATCTAGGAATTCTGCATGCAATCCAACCCACCTTAGGGATATGCAGTCAAATCTTCAAATAGTAACCCAACTCTTCATTTGCTAGGCACTGCCCTCTATGCATTTATTTCTCTCTTGGATCGTATGAGAAAGAGTGACTGGTTGAAAACAGAATTGAATATTCTTGTATCTCTTGTCCAAATATATCATTTTAATCTCATCCTGAATCTGGCCTAATTTGGGCAGGCCACACATCAGGGAGAAGAGCATTTATGGGACAAAATCCAAAGTGGAGAATGTGGTCTAGTCACTGAGCCAGGACTCTAGTGTACAAATCTCTGTTTTGGAAAATTAGGATTCGCTTTGGTAGCCAGCATCACTTGTCTATGAAGTGATGAGCACTAGAATCCCATGTGGGTCAAAGCAATTTAACCTCAAAACCAGTAAAGATACAGGATCTGAGAATCTGACTTGAAGCTTTTAGATTTGGTTCCCATTTATCTTGCTTTACAATCTTCCCCCATTTCTCCAGCATCTCAATTATGTGAGATTAGAAAAAGAACCACAGCAGGAACACCACCTGAAGATTTAAGAATCTTGTTTTCATTGGTTTGAAAAGGTTTTAAGTTGACTCTGGTTATCCAACTGACAAACCTGAATTTTGGCACTAAGTCATTGTGTGTTGCGATTGAAAAGACTAGGAAGAAGCCTAACTTCTGGTGATTCATGTGGCCTGACCATGGGGAAGCTCAGGAAGTTCCTGGCAATTTCTTTACCACCTGTCTTATTTCTTTGATGTCCCTTAAGTTCATGAGCAGTTCCATTGATGGACTGTGCTGTAGACACAAAATTGACCACACATTTTTTTTGTGGCCTGTGCCCTTTCACCTTTGCAATGTGTATCTACAGTGTGTCCCATCCCAAAGTAGAATTTATCTACCCCTTGAATTTGGCTTATGGGAAAGCAGCAAACATGACATAAGCAGAAGCTTGAAAAGTGCTTGTGCACTGGGGTTGCTTCCCATTACTACTCTTTGGAGTCCTTAAAACCACTATATGGAGAAGTCTATGTTCTAGATGTAACACAGAAGATCATTTTGGGCAAAAGCAATCCCTCATAACTGAACTTCCCCTAGACCACTCAGTATGTCGAACACCATACATGTGAACAAGCACATCGTAGACCACTGAGTCACCAGCTGACCTTCTAGCTGACAGAGAATACATAACAAGTCCATCAGAGAGAAGCTGGTTTGTCCAGACCAGAAAAACCACCATACTGACTTAAATAAATGGTTATTTTATTTTATAAATAAATGGTTATTTTTAAAAGATGCTAAGTGTGGGGGTGTCACTCAGCATTAGATAATTTGACCTAGACTTGTATCGTGTGTATGTTTCTACCAACTCATCTTGGTGAATTTTAGATCCTTGAAGGCAGGGGACTCTAACTCATCAGTTCAAATTTAGGCCCTTTCCTTTGGTGGCGAGTTTGGCAATGAAACAATGGGGACCTCTGTGGACCAAGTGCAATGCCAAGTGCATCAGTCCTTTAACTGATTCTCAGCATTAGTCTGTCTCTCTACATAACTAAGGAATCTTTGGGGCAGCCAAAAATTCCCATCTGCAGAGTCCGTCATTGTGCTTTGCTTCTTAAGCATATGTCCCCCTTGTTCCAAGAACAGTTTCCAATTTTTATTCAGAGAACTTTCTGTTGCCCATTCTCCATTCATGTGGTTTAGGTGGCACTCTATCCAGTAATCCAGAAGTGCAGCTCAAAATATATGTGGAAGACAGTCTCTAAACTGACAACAAGAGCTCTGTTCTTCCCTCCCTCTGGAATTCCAACCTTGTGTAATCCCCTCCCCTACAGTATCAGCTGGATTTCTTAACTTGCTTCTAAAGAACGGAAAACAGTAACATGATGGGGTATCACTTCTGAGGTTGGGTTAGTTCTGAGACTATTGACCTCTGGATTAGGTACTCTCTCTTGAATTGTTCACACCCAGGGGAGCCAGTGGCCATGGCCAGAGGCATCCTATGGAGATGCCTATTTGTCAAGTAACTGAGGCTGCCAAAGACTGTGGAAGTAAGCTTCGATGTAAATCCCATCTCTCCTGCATTGACCCTTCATTTGTGACTGCAACTCTGGCCAACAGCTTGACTGCACCCTCATTAACAGGCTTTAAACCAGCTAAACTACACCTAGTTTCCTGCCCATACACTGGGAGGTAATAAATGTTTTAAAATGTTGGAGCAATTTGTAACATAGCACTAGATATCTAATACAGCTTAGGTCTGGCCAATCAAGGTCCTTCCCTAACCAGGCTTAGCCAGTCAGAGTAAAGTGCAGAACTTTTATAGGGTGTACTCCCAGGAAGATGAGAGCCTGGGAATCCTGTAGTCTTTTGTCTCAGTGAATGTAAAGCATTGGTACTGTCTTCTTGTTTCTATCTCCCCAGCACCCACAGCTATGTCTGGCTCAAAGCAGGTGCTCAATATTTATGAAATAAAACACAGGTTTATATCTGGAGAGGAAGAAAATATGAGGGACTGGCATAAAATGGGGAGCCACCAGAAACAGCACAGCAACCTCTTCTGTAATATTATCTTAAGTGGAAAATGTCAGCAAACATCAATAGAAATCCATGTATTTTTCTTTTCTAAATGTGATGCATAGAACAGTTTCTTCTTTAAGTTGCTTTATTCAATTTTAACTGGCAGAGTTTCTAAAATTCTGTAGTGTACACAAGGATCATAGATCCACTGTCTCACCAATGCCCATTTACAGGGCATTTTCCAAGGAGATGAATAAACTATGTGGAGTCATAACATACTTGGCGTGTCAGGTCTGTTCTTTTCTGCTACCCACCAGCATTGGCAGCTCCAAAAGCATGTGCTATAAATTGGATTACTATAAGCATGATTTCATTCAGAGAAGAAGATACCAGGCTGATACCCAGTGATGCAGTAATGTGCCACGCTGATCTCAGGGATCCTTATCATGTCAACAGCATTTAGAAGATACCTCCCTTATTTTGCCTTTCTCTGCTGGCCTTCTTGGACAAAAAGAAGAGGACATATGTCCCCCTTTTCTGCAGATGCTGAATTAGCAGAAAATAGTACAAGTAGTTTTACAAATAATGACATCCTAATATACTACAGAAAAGTGATGTTTCTGTACTGACATCAGCCTCCTTGCTGAGTTTTGTCATGGCTGAAATGAAATTTTTGCTATTTACTTCATATTTGAGGGTTTAATACATACAAACCACACTGACTGGATGACTGAGCAGATATTCTGATTATGGGCACAGGAAAAGGTCATGAAGCTTGTCACTTGTAAATGTCTCAACCTCAGATGGCTACAGCATCCAAATAAGTGAAATAAAAGTGTGAACAATAAGGCATTATGGAGACTGTGGTAAAATGAGAGCACACAATGCTCTTTTTTTAGTCCTCACTGGAGGATATGTTTATTGGTTTTAGAGAGGAAGGGTTGGTGGGTGGGGGGTAGAGAGAGGGAGAGACAGGGAAACATCGATGTGAAAGAGAAACATTGATTGGTTTCCTCTCATATGAGCCCCAACCAGGGATCCACTTGGGATCGATCAGAAATTAAACCACAACCTAGGTATGTTACCTGACCAGGGATTGAACCTGCAGTCTTTCTGTTATACGTTCCAATCAACAGAACCACGGAGCCAGGGCAAGCACACATTGCCCTGAAAGGAGACAGCCATGACTCAATTCTGTCTAGTTACCTTCTGGGGTTTTTTTTCAAGTGAATCTGAGAGCCCAGAAATTTAAAAAAATATCCCATTTTAAAAAATGTTGACAATGACTTCAATTAATTAAATTTTGTGCATGTGAAACCAAACTCATCTTCTGACTACATCAGCCTATGGCTCTCCAGTTTGTAACTTCTGTGGCAGTCTATTAAAAGCAGACATGTTAACAAAAGAGTTTGCATATATTTACTCTGTTTAATCATATCAATTCTTAAACAAAAAAATTTCTTCTGAGAGACAATAGGTCACAGTAACTGCAAAGCTTACTCACAATGTTTAAAAATACAAGTCATGCTTAGCATTCAAAGATATGGTAGAATAACTGTAAAAACTTTTACCAGGAACATTAGCTTCTGACTTTAAAAATTACAAATACTGAAGCATTTTGGTATCATACAGTAGTTTTGATAGCATCTGCTCATTCAATGAGTTTCTAGAAGTTCAGGAAATTGTTCCTCTATACTTAAATAAAGCACTTACTCTAAACTAAACATTTTTCAAATGTAGAAAACAAACTAGCAAGCTACACATACAAAGAAAAGCCCTCTAGGACAAGCTCTCCACATGTGGAATGCCAGCATGTGCACCATGAATCCTGGAAGACTAGAATCGATACATACACTTGGCCTGAAGTCTTACCCTCCAGGCTCAGCAAAGGAGTGTGCATTTACCTACACATTAATGACAAACTCTGGGTTAGTATAGGAGAAGCCAGCAAATTCATTTTGGTCCAAGTTCATGATGAAGAGCTTGTCAGTAGGCGTGAGTTCCACAGGCTGTCTGGTGAACTCTTTGTCGAAGTTGGAGGTGTCTCGCTTGTCTCTCTGCCAAATGAAAAGCAAACATTAATACAGTAAGAAGAAGGAAGCAGGACAGAGACACACCAGTCATTGGGAAGCTGATGAACTCTCATGGGCAGAGTCAGCAGTAGCCCCACGCTGACAGAGCAGCTGCATTGCACATGCTACCCCCTCAGCTTTCACTTTATATCCTATGTTGGCTTCAGGAGAGAAAACTTGGTGGAAATATCCTAAGAAAGGAAATCAGACATTGAATTTCTCTGAGGACTGTCATAAAGGGGAGGAGGGGGGTTGTTTTCTTTGGCTTTGAGATGAAATGAGTTGCACACTACTTCTCACAATGTGTAATGCCATAGAGTTAGTCATTGGGCAGAATATCCCAGGGAAAAACCACTCAAAAGTGATCCCTGTGGCTAGGACAACCCTTTCTTTAACAAGGGGAACAGGGCAAACTACTCAGCTCCAAACCAGAGTGGCATGTGGGGATATGGGATCACTGCTTAATGAAAGGAACTGACCACTGTCCCCCTACATTCCCTGGTGCAATCTAGGCTTTCATGGGATGCTCATAAATGCACCCACAGACTAGATGGTGGGTCTTCATCAGCCCAAGGGTCTCTCCAAGGATGTCTATAGCACATATCTAGTCAACAAACTATAAGGAACAAAACCCAAAGCTTCAAGTCAGATCTGTAAGGGCAGCCTTACAAACAAACAAACAAACAAACAAACAAACAAAAATCCTATTCTAGTTATTCTGGCATCCTTCCAGGTCTCCTCTGGTAACATGGACCCCATGCACTCTTCCCTGCCTCTGGGCTTCCAGCAGAGGGTCCTTTTCCACCAGCACCAGTTTGGAAAGCCCTTCCTATTTGTCATGCTGATGATGACTCATGTTTCAAAAAGCCACGTGGTCTAAATAAGACTTGCCATTGTGGATTTTGTCCTGTGGATAGATCCTCATAGAAAATACCCTGAATATCACCCTAGAAATTGGGAGAGAATGGGCCTCTCTGTGGGGACAATTCCTTTCTGAGTTGATAGTATCTGGAGCCACACGAGAACAGTGGCACTCATCCAAGGAGAGTTATTAGTTCCACTGACCTCCTGTTAATTTCCCAAGGAGGTCACTGTGATCAGGGTGCTATGTCAGAACAGGAGCAGGTTAATAAGAAGTCTAAGAAATGAAAAGAGGTCTTGCATCCCGGTAGACAATTAGCCATGGCTAACATGGACTATGTTTAGGGGTTTTAGCTTTTCTTAAGTTTTTTATTCTCCCCTAGTTTTAATTCTTTTGGAAAATCACAGGTTATCTCATCTAGAAGCAGCAGGTGGTGTCAAGCCAGGGGCAGTGTGCTGGAAGGAAAGTATTTCCCTGAGGGCCAGAAAGGGATCTGAGCGATACCCCCAAGGGGTGAGACTCAGGAATTAGAACTAAACTGTAAAACCAGGCCCCTCTCTCCATACACGTGTCTGTCTCTGCTAAAGCCGTGGTGATTCTGTGTTCTGTTTAGGCCTGGGGATAGTGCCTTTGGTCTTCTCGAAGGAAACCCACCTTAGCAACTGTCCTGCCTTTCCTTCTCAGAAATCAGTGTCAACAGGACACTGCTATGCCTTCTCCTTCAGCTCAAACTGTGGCCTACAGAGAAAGTGGAACCCTGAACATCTTGGAGGACTTTTTCTTTCCTACAAGAAGCCTTCCCTGACAAACTCAGAGACTAATTATCTCTAAATCACACCAGGCTTTCAATGACTTGCTTGATGCCTGCCCTCCTGGATTGTATCTTTTATGGCTCCTCATGCGTCCCTGGCACACAACATAGGTCTGGCACATAGTTGATGTTCAATAAGTGATGGCTGGGTGAATGAATGGAGGGTAGAATACATGCATAATGGCAAAAATAAATCAAAATCTTTCTTCCTGAACAAATTTGCAAAGTATTCCACCCTGCCTGGTGTGAATCAGTGGATTGAGTGCCAGACTGCGAACCAAAGGGTTGTGAGTTCTATTCCAAGTCAGAGCACATGCCTGGGTTGCAGGCCAGGTCCCAGTAGGGGGTGCATGAGAGGCAATAACACATTGATAGTTCCCTCCCTCTCCTTTTCCTTCCCTTCCCATCTCTCTAAAAATAAATAAATAAAATCTTGAAAACCCCACAAATTTTCAAAGTATTCTGCAGAAATTATCTATGTTGAAAGCTCTATTTCTCCATTTTCCCTGCACTTGAAATGTTGATTAAAAAAAGAAACTGCAGAAATTCTGACTAATGACCCCTTATTGGAAGGCTTCCCTGCCCAACCTCAGTAAGGTGTGTTAGGGCAACAGCAACTTCAACTTCAGTTCTATTTCTGAAAACTATCAAACTTTTGGAAAACAATGGCAGCAATTTGGAAAATGCAGAGCACAGTGTATATGAGGTCTGTCCAGAAAAAGTCCAGCCATTGTTACTATAACAATAATGGTTTGTGCGGCATCAATGTAACCTGGCAGCCAAGGAGAGTCGACTGGAATGCACATGCATAAACAATGACAACTTCACTATACTAGTCAGTGGGGGCAGTAGATGCTGTTGAGTGAGCATGTGTACTGTGTGGTCATCCCATTCAAAATGACTGAGTGAGTAGAGCAATGAATCTACATCAAATTTTGCATTAAGCTTGCACATTCTTCTGCGAAAACAATTTAGATAATCAGAAGGCTACACCTATGGGCAACTGGTGATTTGGCAACTTCGTCACAACACACACACTCATGCATCACGTCTCGTGCAGAGTTTTTTGGCAAAACAACAAATCACCCAAGTGACTCAGCCCCCTGTATCCCTTTTTGGCGCCCTGCAACTTCTGGCCTTTCCCCAAACTGAAATTACCTTTGAAAGGGAAGAGATTTCAGAGCATAGGTGAGATTCAGGAAAATATGATGGGGCAAGCTGATGGGAATTGGGAGAACTGTGAGGTCCCAAGGTACCTGCTCTGAAGGGGACTGAGTCATCACTGTCCTATGTATAATGTTTCTTGTATCTTGTATTTTCTTCAATAAATATCTCTATTTTTCATAGTACATGGCTGAATACCTTCTGGACAGACCTCTACATACAGTATATTCTTCCTACCTATCATCTACCTACCTACCTACCTAACTACTTTGGTCTCTAAAGTTGTCTCAGGTCATTTGTCAATCACCCAATGTTTTTTAATAGTGTTTACCTTCCTGAGAGAGTATCTGAGGAAAGGCCCGGTTACCTAAATGCCAGTTGAAGGACCTCAACTAACATGCCTGTTGGTGGGCATGGCCCAGAGATCCCAGTGATAAAGCAGTGAGAGTCTTGCACTGAGTGTCAGGAAATCTGGGTTTGCATCCCAGCTTCTAACCTTGGGCAAGTCACTTCCTCTCTCCAGATGCCAGCTTCTCCAGCAGTTAAGTGAGGGGGTTCTGCCCCAATGCCCCTCCTTCTCTAACTGCCTAAGCTTGTCATCTGGGAATTCAAGTTTGCTTTACCTAAGGTCTGGATGGCTACCACAAAGGCTATTCTAGATGGCCCCAAAGTCTGCAGTGGGAAGAAGCAAGAGAACAGAAAGGATTAAATGACAAGAAATCCAAATTGTGGTTTTCTTAAAGATGAGGAATTTTACTTCAAGGATACTTGTCAAGTTTTTTAAGTTCCCTTAATAATGCCTTAGAAACCCTTGAGCTTCTAGAACCACTCAACTTGTGATAAGAATTGTCTTAAGGCCTGAGAATAGCATGAGGCTAGAGATAAGGATGGGGAACCACTTGCTATCCTTATTTGTTTAGATAGAAATGGGATTTCTCCCACCCAAAGGCTTTTTTTGGGCTTCTGGGAGCTCATAAAGATGCTTGCTAGAAAGAATATTTAGTCTAAGCTGAGAGGAGTAGTGATTTTGATAAGAAAATTGAGAGCTCTGGCCATGCTCCTAGCTGGCCCCTGAATGTGGGCTGTGGGTTCTGATATCATTGGCGGCCCCTGGTTAGCCCACCCTGCCCTGTTACAGGCCACCAAGAATCCTTGAATGGTCTGCAGCCCCCACCCCTCTGACTGGCTGAATACTGGGGCTAAGATTAAGCTCTGGGTATAGTCCTTTCTGTCTCAAAGCCTCGAGAGGCTCAACCCCATTTTGCAGTCTGGGTTGACATTTTTCAAAGAGAGCCATTTTCCTTGAAATAGCATTTCTTCTTCTGTTTTTAATATTGTATCTTGATGCTAAAAGAAAAATGGCACATAACACATATCCAGATACAAATGAACATTTCCACAAACATCTTGCAAAACCACATCAAAGAGTACAACTGTTTCCAGAAATTATGTCTTTCTCAGAGTACTTAATTAGCTTTCCAAAGCCAACAACAAACTTAGACTAGCCCCATCCGCTCAGGCATGGGTCCGTTAGGCTCCAGAGCAGTCTTCTTTGTAAATCAGTTGATCATTGTGATTAGTAACATTTGGACATTTATTTCAGAGCATGTGTTAACAAAGTGAATTTCTTTTGCATATGAACAACAGAAATAAAACCCCAAAGCAAATAAAGTTTGAAATGTAATGTAAAATCATAGTCCTTTGGGACCTTGCTAGAGTGACCATGTCCTTTCAGGAAGTGGGGCCAAATGCCTTTTCAAGTAGTTTGGGGATGAAGGTGATCAGGGACATACAAGACCAGAAATGAAAGCACTGAGGCAGCACCCAAGCTGGTTACCTTTTGACCTTTTGAGGTGCTTTTAGTTCACAACTATCTAAAAGCATACTTTTGGAATTTTAAAAGGGCTTAGATAATCTTCTTAACTTTGAGTTAAAAAAAACAAAAAAAATTATTTTTAGCACATTCTTTTCAAAGCTTATGGTGCCTCCAAACCAGGCAGGATGGAGGAATTCCCTCTAAGTCAAAGCAACCATATGCTTGGAGAGCGGCCAAGCTTCAGGTCTAGAAGTGGAAGAACACTGCTAGCATCTGATGATCCACTCATTGGGTAGGAAGAATCTAGATTGGATGGTAGGAGTTGGAGAATGTATAAAAATGGCAGTGCAGAAACAAAGGAAAAGAAAGCAGGCATTTTCCGTCCCCGCTGGCTCTACTTAGCTGACATGCCAGAGAAAATTAATTGTAAGAGGACTTAGATAATGTGTTAATTATGCATTTTCAGCATGACATCTGCATAATTCCATCTCATAGAGATGCTCCAAACTACCTGAGGACATTTGGGTTCTGGAAGTTCTGGAACATGGTCACTCTAGTCTCATCAGCAAATAAACATGAATGCAATTTTGAAATGAAAAAAAATGTCACCACAGTAACCGTTGAGCTTGAATGACAGAAATGAAGGACGGAGATCTACACATCTACTTAGCTCTTGACTTCAGGTTTTAAAAATTCAGAGTTAACAAAAGAAAATCCTTCGAATTCTGATTGGTCAATATTCCTGATGACTTCCTGGTCAGGAGGTGTTAGGACTGGTGGATGACGGGTGAAAAATCGGTCGAAGTTTTCAGCATTTCGCCCACACTATGAGAGGGGAAGAAAAGAACTTGTGGTGGGTGGAAACAAAACACAACAGAACCAAACAAAATTGGATGTGGTTTTCTTCATCCCTTTCCTTTCACTACCTCAGAGAGGTTGTTTTAATGACCAGACATGAGAGCAACATAAAATGCAAAATTGTCATGACCTTTGGTATATGACCCTGGGTTCCCGACCTTCAGTTTCTGTAACTCCTGAGCTGCCATGGTGTCCACTGGGCAGTCAGGAGCTGTATGACAAAAGCATGAGATGGTGGGGCTGGTGGTGTATGTCAGGTTTCTCTCCTAGCCCCACCCCCAGAAGTCAGCCAAGCTTGTCTGTTGAAAGGAATGGAATTAAAGTACCTTAAGATGTTTTATGTGGCAAAGATGCAAAATAATGACCCTTATACATCACCTGGGAGATCTCAATATTTAAGAGCAGGCCTCTTGATGTGCTGTCTACTGGCTGTCAATAAGGAACAACTGACATTTTGTAGCTCAGCAGATACAGGAGTTCACAAACCCCAGTCAACAAAAAAGATCCCTGGACCTGGGTTTGGTACCTGTGATGCCTGTGCACCAATGGGGCCCTGGGCAGCTGGATAAGTTACTGGTCTTTAATTATTAGGTGCCAGAAGGTGAGTGGCCATTCTCTCTACAAACAGGAAGGAGGGGAATGGGATGAAATACAAAGCAGAGCTTGGTCAGCCAGTCAGGCTCCAGAGGGAAAACTATTGCCACTTCTCATCCATCCTGTGGTCCTGCTATAGGAAAGGTCCCACTCTGAGGCAGAGTTATAACACATGTGTGTGTGTGCGTACACATGCACGCTCATATGTGAGTGCACACATATGCACTTGCTAGTTTTCACCTAATTAGAAGGGACAAATCACAAATTTGATGTTCTTTGTTCTTCAGCAGAAAAGCCATTTGCTTTCTAAGTGTTTCAAACAGTGCCTACAGGAGGCAACCACAACCTAGTAACACAGTAGTAGGAGTGTAATTATAATAGCTAGCATTTATTATGCATTTGCTATATGCCAGGGACCCTACAATTCTCTTTACATACAGTATCTTATTTAATCTTCCCAATGACCCTAAGAAGTGGGTTTTATTATCATCCTATGAGATAGATGAAGAAACTGAGGCCAGGAAGATTACATCATCTGTTCGAGGTCACACAGCTAGTGAGCAGCAGAGGTGCACTGTGGGCTGGGTCAGCTTACCATCAAAGCCCAAATGTCTGGCTCCATTGTACAAGAATGATTGACAGGATGGTAAGTTATTGAATAATGGGGTGGGTGCACCTTGGAGGGGAGAGAGGAGAAATTAGGGATGAGGATGATGAGGTCTCTGGTTTGAGTAAGACAAAGAAAGTGGGAGAATTCAGAAAGATGACTATTTCTGTTTGGACATGATGACTCTGAGGGACCAGTGAGAGTCTAGGACCTGACTTGAAATAGTTAGAAGTACAGGTTCTGGACCTCAGGAGAGAGGTCTTAAAATTTTTTTTATAAGTCAGAATATGAAAGGTGCAAAAGAGATAATAAAAATAGGATATTGTTACCACTGAAAAATCTCCAAGAGATCAAGCTGGGAAGTCACTGAAAATTGGCCATTGCATTTGGCAACTGGGAGAAGATGGATGAGGAAATGCTAGGCTGTGCCCACTTCACAGAGAATGGGAAGGTAAGCTCAGAAAGTCAAGAAATATAAGCTCCTCTTTCAAGCCCTCCAGTCACAGGGAGCAGAGGTACTGGGTATGTGTACAGGGGACTTAGCTCTCAGATAGCCTCAGCCTCTGGCTCCATGTAGGTTTGGAAAGAAGGAACCCCTGCAGACATGCATTCGAACCCAGACATTAGTGCTCACTAGCTGTGCAACTCTAGGCAGATTCTTTAAAGACACTTTTGTGAACCAGGAGAGTACTCATTGTTCTCACAGAGGGTTGTGACGACAATAACATGAGACAATGCATGTGACTAGTACAGTGCCTAATCCCTAGCAAGTAAGTGCTCAACACACCCTCACTGTGAGTATCACCTAATTCTTGTTTCCTTGTATTCACTAAAAAATCTCTCCAGACAGCATATGCTTCCTCAATGAGGGGTCTTCAGGATGTTTAAGTTGTAAATACTAAGGAAACAGTCTTGCATTTTTTCTATTCTTTTTGTTTTCAGTTTAATTTTTTCCCTTCTTATTGAATTTATTGGGGTGACACTGGTTAACAAAATTTTACAGGTTTCAGGTGCCCAATTCTATAACACATCATCTGTATTGTGTGTTCACCAACCCAAGTCAAGTCTCCATCCAATGGTTTTCAGGATATTTAAGTTGTAAATACTGAGGAAACAGTCTTGCATTTTTTAAAGGAATACATTTGTTATTCCAAACTAAATTGTTTCCAGTTTTTGATATCTTGGCTTTCAGGTCTCAGAAAATGAGAAGTGACCCCCGTCCCCAGCCATACAATCTAAGACTTGGAGTCTAACAGATGGTCTGCTGGCCCATGGTGGAAAACACACACTAAAAGATGGACCCTTGGTGTCAATGCAGTGTGGTCAGGACTACTGTTCAGGTTCTTTCTTTATTTACTCATTTTTCTCAGCAAAGACATATTTATTGAGTATGTACTGTGTGCTGATCCTAAATTATACAAATACATGCCTTGTGGATCTTACATTCTACTGGAGAAAAAGGCAACAAAAAATAAATAAAAATATAACTATAAATCTAAAGAAATATTTTAATGCTGGAGAGAGGTAAATGATATTAAGAAAAATAAGTCAGGTCAGAGATAAAGGATGAAGAGAATAAAGAATGCCATTTCTGACAAGGCAGTCAGCTCTGTGGAAATAGCCTGTGCACATGCTGTAGTCAGCAGACAGCCATGAGGCCAGTGTGGCCCGAGCAGTGACCCAGGGAGGGAGGGTCAGAGAGGGCACCAGGAGCCGGCTCACTGGCCTCACCAGCCATGTGAGGAGGGAGGCTTTTCATGCCACTGGGGAATTCTTTCTTTATTTTTTAAGAAATAAATATATGTATGTATGTGTGTATGTATGTATGTATGTATGTAGGCATGTATTTATATTGATGACACTATTAACAGATGTCCCTACCAAGCATTGCGTGGTCCGCACTGACTTGTATTTCAGCATGATCATGGGTGCTGCTCATAGAATAGACAGATGGGCCAGGGACAATGGTGGAAACAGTGAAGCCAGTTAGGAGGCTGCTGCAAGACACAGGCAAGAGATGAGGGTGGCAGACAGGAAGGTGACAGTGGTAGACATGGGAAGATGTACTTGGTTTGGGGATGTACTTTGAATTTGAAGTTCGTGAGATATGCTGATGGGTAGGATGTAGGTTATGTGAGAGAGGACTGGTCAATGATTCCGACTTCTGGCCTGAGCTACATGGTGAGTGGGGCACACAAAGGGCAGAGCATATTTGTGGGAGAAACTGAGCATCAATTTCATTTATGGTAAGGTTGAGTGTCCAGTGGAGATGTGACAGATCAAGTGGGAGCTTCCTGGCTGCTGTGTGGGGACTGCAGAGGAGCAGCAGCTGACTGATGGCAGAAGCACTGGGGTGGGCAGAAGACGGCTGCAATCACCCTCAGGAGACAGATGGTGGGGAGAGTGGTGGAGAAGGGGTGAGCAGAGGGGATGGAGATGCTCATGGCAGAGACGCGGAGGCAAGGTGGCAAGTTACAAGGCAGACTTGCAGGCATTTTTCTTTGCCCTGGGTGTTGGGACCCAAACCAGCCAGTCTAGGAAGCATGTAAGCTGAGATACAGCAAGACTTTGGGGGCCATTTTTCTTTAAAACCCATCAATTTCTCATCCATAGCAGAAGGCGGTTGCTTTGCTGAGGCCTCCCCAGAGGCTGTTATGAGAAGCAGAGAAAGAGTTTCTTTGAGCTGGGCAGCCTCCTCTCCATCACCCCCTCACTGCCTTGGAAAACAGTCAAATCTTTTAAGTGAGATGGCAAGGAAGAGATGCAAGGACAATGGTTAAGCAAGGGGGCACAATACAGGGGCAGTTTGATGTCCCTGCTAATATGCAACTTACCAGGCTGGCAGATCGCAGCCTCCCTAAGTGTTGCCATATTTTTCAAATGGAGCTGTCACTGCCTGTTAGCTTCAGCAGAGCTCGCCTCATGGAGATGTCAGCCCTCGGGAGGCACAGCCCATTAGCTCTGTGCCTGCTGCATCCTTGGAGAATGGGCAGCTCAGTGTCTGGGATCTAATGGCAAGTGCAGTGCAGACCACACCTGCTTCTCTGGCTGTCTTGGGCGGATACTCCATCCTTACCTAGCTTGGTACCTGTCAGCTACTCAAAGAAAACCAAGCCTCCTTGTCATTAGGATACACCACTGGGGCTCCTGGAGCAGGGATAGGGGGCCAAGCCAACTAGGTTATTTAAATCAGATGGTACCGCCTCCAGGCTGGAGAAGAAAGAAAGGATTGTGACTTCATTCCATGGTAATCCTGAATTTGAAAACCTGGAGAGTTTGAAACATTTGTCTGTGAGCTGTTACGTGTGAGCTATTTTTCCTTCTTCTCTTCCTTCTAATTTCTGTTTCAGTGTGTCAATAACAGCTCTGAGTCTAGTTGTCAAATGTGGAGTTGGCCCAGACACAGCAGCCACAGGGATCTTTCAGAGACTCCAGTTTAGATATGCCACTTCTCTGCTTTTCTCAGCAATGGCTCCCAATTGCCCCAAGCCCATGATCCTTAGTGTGGCTAACAGGACTGTTTAGGACGTAGCCCTGGTCATCTGCTAACTAGCCCTCTCCACACCCACAACTCCCAGCCCAACTTTCCCCACCCCAGCACACCCTCCAGATGTAATGACCTCCCAATTCTTAGGACGCTGTCTCTCCTCCAAGCCTCTCGTTGCGTAGGCTCTCCTCTGCCAGGAACACTTGCCTCCCACCCCTTCTGCTCCACCTGGCTATCTGCTATGAAGCTTCCCGGTCTCCAACAGAGGTCACTTCCTCC